AATCCGAGGAAGTCGCTCTCGGAGCTGATGGTTCCGTCTCGAAGTTGGATGTGCGTCAGTTTCTGCTCTCGTTCGAATGCGCTCAGCTGCTCGCCGCCGCCAAAGGAGTCCCTCTCGCCGCTCTGCGGATGGAACTGCTGCACCGCGAAGGTCACTCTCCGACGAGCCGAACACGCCGCTAGCGCCACGTCGATTTCCGAAACGGCTGTCGGCGGGGCTTCGACAATCATGCCGTCGAAAGTGTAGGTGTTGTTGCTGGGGCCGTCTGCTGTCTTGAGTTTCGTTTCGACTTCGTCCGCGATTGGATCTGCAGTTCTGGACAGTGCATAGTGCAGTCTTGTAGCCGTCGCGTTTGGCTTCTCGTAGAACATACCCTGCAATTCTGAAAACTGCGGAAGACTTAGTAAACGCTGCACGGCCTCCCTGGTCAAGCCGGCACCCGGGTAGTCGCAAAGGAATGTTCTCCATGATGTGTGGTCCACTGGCGCATCTCCCAAACAGTTGCAGAGGGGCACCACGAAGCAGTTCTCAATGCCGACGTCGAAGAACACATTGCCTGACATGGCTGGGCATCCTTTTTTCTGCTTCCAAGGCGTACGCCCTGACCTCTTTCGACGGTGCCAACTGCACTGGGCTGCCCATCGGGCAACGCCGACCAGGGATGTTGCGCTTCCTGCAGTCGTATACTCTGCAGGGAAAATATTCCACACGAGCTCCTCGTTGCATGCGGTCAGCCAGGAACCTGCGAGCTGACTCTGCCTTGCGAGTGATCCCCCCGTTCTCCAGGGCCGATTTCAGGGCTGCAACGTTCACTCTCGCCGTCAGATATCCCGCGGACATCGGCCGCGTGCGGGGCCGCCTCTCCGTGCTCTTCGGGCTGAACCCACAACCCAATCAGGAATGTTTCTTTGCACTGACAGGTAGGTCACCAGCTTGAGAAGCCACCCCCAAAACGCTCTGGGCCGTGGACTTCCAGCAGCTCCTCAAAAGTTTCCAGTCGCACGTCCTCGTAACCGAACGCGACCAGGTGGGGCCATGCGGGCGCGGCCTCCAGCAGTACATCGGATTTGCTTGGTTTGCCTCTTGCGCTAGCGTGGTCAGTGCCCAGTCGTGTAATAAAAATATGCGGCGTGCTCGGCGAGGGAGGGGGGGTGCTTTCTCCTGGTATGCACTAGAAAGCGCACGCAAAATCGCGCGAAAGGCGCGAGACCTTTTGGGATGAGCCGAAACCTGATAACAATTCGCAATCACTGTTGATTGGCGTAGTCGATAAATGAAAATGTAAACTCATACGTTGCATGCGCGCGTTGCGGCCATTGTTGCAAGCGCAAGCAGAAAGCGACGAAACCGACCACGGGGGCATCCCAGAGTGGATGCCACTGTTGGCCCGTCGAAACTCCCTGTCGAACCGATGACGAAACGCACGCGTTAAACAAAGCCGCGGGTCATGCGAAGGGCGGTTGACGGACGGCCTCCAAAAGTGGATGCCCCTGCCCGCCCGCCGAAACTCGCAATTCAAATCCACAGCCAACAGCACGCGTGAGGCGAACACGCGGGGTGCGCGAAAAGCGGGTGAGGGGGGCATCCGAATGACGCCCCTTGAAGCCGCCAGGGCCCCGCGTGATGTTTGCGCCTGTGAGTCTTGAAACCGTTGCCCCATATTGATGCTCGCATCATCCTGTATGGAAAGAGGTGGCGGACCCATCCCGGGACGCCCAAATTTTTCGATTGTCTCCATTATACTCTGGCGTCCTGGCTACTAGACAGACAACGCCCAAAACCTTGTGCAAAATACGCTGGCCGATCGTAAGGCGTGCGCCCGCCATGGCAGAAATTGCTTACGCACGTGAAACAGAGGCTGCTTGTTTTCATATGTTGCGTTTTTGGCGGCAGTAATCGCGCGATCAGAATGCACAACAAATGCGTGGCATTTCCTTTTTTATATAACGACGATATTTCCCCCCCCCCAAAAAAAAACGCCCTCTAGGGGGCGTCCACCGCGAATTCAATTCATAAAGAAAACAACATGAATGGCGATTTGATTCATTCGATGCTGCTCCCACGGCAAACAGAAACACCCAAAATCAACCAAACAATACACATCAGTTCTCCTTTTGAAAACACGAGTCGCATAAAGAAACCTTCGAGGGGCGCGTCTGCCACGGCTCAAGGTCTCCGAAGAAACAATCCGATGGCAATGTTAACTTGCGGCGCGCTTCTCATGGCAAGCGCGCCGCGCCAAGACAACAAACAATGCGCAAAGTTCCCCCTTTCGTGACGACGCTAATACAAGAGAAACCCCTTCCATGGGTAAGTCCAGTTCGCCGGAACAGGACATCGTTTTACAATGCCGCCTCCGGAGGTTTTGTTTCCCTAGCCCTCCTTGGTTGGGAATTCGTTTTGAAAAGAGCACTGCGGTCGCGTCCCTCCTCCTTCTCCTCCTCCTCCCGCCTCCCGCCTCCTCTCGCCTCTTGCCCTCTCTTCGCCGTCGCTGGGGGGGCTGCGATCTGCGAAACCGTCACCACTTTCGAGGGTTGCTGGTGGGTCCAGCGGAGTGAGGCACCGCGCAGATCTGAGCAAGACCCCGCCGTGCCTGGGGGGCTGCGATCTGCGAAACTGTCGCCATTTTCGAGGGCTGCTGGTGGGTCCAGCGGAGTGAGGCACCGCGCAGATCTGAGCAAGACCCCGCCGTGCTTGGGGGGCTGCGATCTGCGAAACCGTCGCCACTTTCGAGGGCCGCTGGTGGGTCCAGCGGAGTGAGGCACCGCGCAGATCTGAGCAAGACCCCGCCGTGCCTGGGGGGCTGCGATCTGCGAACCCGTCGCCACTTTCGAGGGCTGCTGGTGGGTCCAGCGGAGTGAGGTACCGCGCAGATCTGAGCAAGACTTCGCCGTGCCGGTGGGGCTGTCAGTGCCCTATGCGGCGTACGGGGGGCAAAGATCTGGGCCAAGCGGGCGGATCCCAATGATGCGTAATCCTGGCAAGCCCGTCAGGGCAGTTGTAATCCACTTCTAAGCTATGATAGGCCCGATAACAACCACCTTCATGTCCACCTGAAAACCCTTACATTCGAGCCGCTGAAGTAAGGACAACTTTGAGCTCAGGAGGGGTTCCAGCTTTCGGGCCTCTCCTTGGGTCTAGGTCGAGCGAGCGCGCGTGGGTTGCGGCGGGGGCGCTTTTGAAAGGGCCACGCGCCCGAAGAGTGGTGCAAAACGCAGCCAAGACGCGGAAATAGAGACCACTTTGGGCTCAGCCGCATAATTTGACTACGGCGGCGTCCGTCTGGATGAACCCGCCGGTGTAGCAGAAGCTACGGCCCCGATGGGGCCACTGCGACCGGCACGTGGTCGTTGTGGTCAAACCTCTGGCTGGAGGATGAGGCCGTCCAGCGCGGCGCCCCACCTGAAGATGTCATCGTCGTGCTTCCTCGGGCGGCGCGTCCAAGAAACACCCTGCTCGCCTTCAGGGTGCCCTGGGTTTCTTGCATTTCGATGGCTTTGCTATGGAAAGAGTGACGTTGTGGGGTCTCAGGGCTGGGTTCTTTGTGTAATGTCTCTTGTGGACTGGCTTCCACTGTAGGGAACCTTTTGGGCTCCGGAGGGGCTCGCATTTTTTCGAGCCGTTCCTGAGGTCCAGGTCGGGGAACCGTTTCGCGTGGCCGGGGCTCGATGTGGGCCAGAAGAGAGCCCCCCTTTCGCTCTTTATATACTCTGTGCTCCGTGTGGTAGCATACCGAGTGTGCACGCCGGTCGTTGAGAGCATCTATTTTTTCAGCCGCGCCGCAACTCTGGAGGTAGGAAGTGGGTCTGGCATAAAGGGGTGTGGTGCCAATCGTGGAAATGGAGGTGTTATCCACGATAGGTAGCATCGCCAGATTCAGCATTGGCACCACACCCCTTTTGTGCCACACCCCTTTCCGACCTTTGGGTGCTCACTAACGTGTACTTTGACATGTTGCCAGACGTTGCCAGTTCAGGGCCGCTTTCTGGCATTGCGGCGTTGCCCACATCAGGAATGGTTGGGTTCGCCGGGTCATTGCCCAAAGTATCCGTTAGCGGAGCCCCCATTAGAGAGGCGCTGGTTTTTTTATGTCCAAATCCTGATCTGTTTCAGGCGTTTTCCTGCCTACTTCCATGATCGAGTGGCTTCCCCTCTCCCTTCCTCTTCGGGGGGCGGGCGGAAGCCCGATCTACTTCGAAAGCCCTCCTATTTCATGCTTCTGCCCACTTCTTCCGACCGACGGGCACAGTCAACCCACATAATAAGGATGGACAACCTTCCGAAGGCTACCCTTTCGGGTCGGGCGAAAGGGGGGGTTTGGGAAAGGGGGGGTTACGAAATCTGCTGCATGCAGCTGGTTTCGGCCCCGCCGCCGGGCCCATTCCTCGATACATGGGCGCCTCCCGGCGCCGGGAGGCGCCGGGAAAATCAGCTACGTGAGCTGATTCTCAAACCCCCCCTTTGCTATCCCCCCCTTTCGCCCGACCCGAGCGTCCTTGCGTCCTTGCCCCTTTCCGCCCATCCTTAGCAGCGGTTGTTGGCCAATATCTCGCTCGAAAAAAAAACGCCGGCACGGGCCTCCCAGACCCTTTGCATATCCTTACCGCGTCTCCTTATGGCACGGGTTGACTCTGTACCTTGTCAGAGCCCCGAATCATCAGGGGTAACTCGGGTCAGGGATAACTCGGGTTCGTTTTTCGGGAATGCAAGCCCGAGTTACCCCGGACCCGAGTTACCCCGGATAACTCGGGCGTCCAACTTTGTGTTCCGTTTGGTAGCTCACTGAGCCCAGATGTGCGACGTCCTGATTTTTTCGGTGTCCCCTGGAAGTCCCGACCCTTTCCCCGGGGCCGGTTTTTCATCCTGCGTCATTTTTCGGCGGTTCCGAGGCCGAGAACCGATTTGTTTTATCACGACGCGATCATGTCTGGGAGTATCCCCTCAGCAACCGCGCGGTCCTTCACGCGGGGCGGCGCTGACCACGCGAGTCGCGGCCGCAGGCGACCAGCAAGGCTCCTGGCCAGGCCCTCGCCGCCCTCGGGGGGGCCCTGCAGGCGCGCGCCGGGGGGCTCCGCCCGCGCGCGGGTCGGCGGCCGCGCGCGCGCGCCCGCCGCGCCCACCTTGAGGTCGGGCATGTCCTCCTACAGGCGAATTTTGAAGGCAATCCTAAATAGACAAAACATGTTCAAACATAGCCAAAAATATTCGAAACGTCGTCCCCAGACTATCTTTTGACTATTTTTGAGTGTTCCTTTTGTAAATGGACACGCCACACTTAAGCCCACCTGCCGATGGGGCCGCTTGCAGTCCGATGCGCTGCGATTCGATTCTGCTGGCTGGGGCTCGCGATGCCGATTCGATTTTTTGGGGGCGGGAGGGCATCATCATTATCATGCGTCACGCCGCACCCATTTCGGCACACCCTTCACACGCTTCGTGGCCCCATACGGAGCTCCACCGAAGGCTCCAGTGCCACCGTCCACATGCGTCCCCCCCCCACCCACTTCGGCACACCCCTCCCACGCGTCGTGGCCCCATAGGGAGCTCCACCGAAGGCTCCAGTGCAACCGTTCACATGCGTCCCGCTCACCCACTTCGGCACTCCCCTCACACGATTCGTGGCCCCATCGGGAGATCCACTGAAGGCCCCAGTGCCACCGTCCACATGCGCCCCCCCCACCCGCTTCGGCACACCTCTCACACGTTTCGTGGTCCATAGGGGGCTCCACCGAAGGCCCCAGTGCCACCGTCCACCTGCGCCCCCCCCACCCACTTCGGCACATCCTTCACACGTTCCGTGGCCCCAACGGGAGCTCCACCGAAAGCCCCAGTGCCACCGTCCATATGCGTTCCCCCATTCATTTCGGCACACCCCTCCCACGTTTCGTGGCCCCCTAGGGAGCTCCACCCAGGGCCCCAGTGCCACCGTCCACATGCGTCCACCCCACCTATTTCGGCACACCCATCCCACTTTTCGTGGCCCTCTAGGGAGCTCCACCGAAGGCCCCAGAGCCACCGTTCGCATGCGTCCCCCACACCCCTGCTCGCATTCATGCAAATAGAGCACTCGCACGCAGACTCATTCACAATCAGACTCACTCGCGCGCAGACTCACCCGCGCTCAGTCTCTCCTACGTAGACCACTCGACTTCGTTTGTGTTGTTAACCCCGCCACGCATTCCGGCACACCCCTCATACGGTTCGTGGCCTCATAGGGAGCGCCACCGCAGGAAGTATTCACAACTGCGGTGCTCACATCTACAGATGGCCTGGCCCTCCGCCAGGCTACTTAGGGGGCGGAACAGAGGGGTGGGACCATAGGGGCGGGGATATGTCATAGCCGGGGCCACGAGCTCTCTCCCTGGATCTCATGACCCCCTATCTTCGTTCCAACAACACGTTTCCATCGGCCGCCCCCTCCGTGGTCGATAATTTGGGGCCCCTCCTTCTGGACGCCCCCCCTTGTGGACGCCCCCGGAATTTGCTTCGGGACGATTCGCTGGCGATGCGATCCGGTTTCGATCCGACCCGATCTCGAGATCCGATCCAAGCTCAGGCCTGCCTGCCGCTGCCGCTTCGCGCCCTGCCGACGCTCATCCCGCCTTGCGAAGTCCAGCGGCAGGCGAGAAGTAATGGACCGAGTCCCGTGAGCGCTGTGCACCAGCGAGGAACTATTTTCCCCCGATGGGCCCCGAAACAGCGCAACAGCGGCGAAGGAAGTGCCCTTCGGATATGCTACGGTTGCAGGAACTTTTACCGCATGTTTCGGTAGCACTTCGTGGGAGCTGGTCTACCCCCTTTGTTTCGTCTTTAGCGTCGACTAGCGTCGATTAGCGTCTGGAAGTCGATGAGATGGCGCCCATTTAGCGTCAGTTAGCGTCGATTACGGGTCGATTCAGCGTCGATTGTTCGATGAGCGTCGGTTCGCCAGAGCCAGCAGCATGGTATGGAAGGCTCCCATGAGTTGCCATCGTCTGGCCCGCTGCCTGGCCCACCCTCGAGGCTTCTCGATGGTGTGCCCTTTTTCCCGATCATCCTGTGATGTTGGGTCCCCGTTTTGAAGAGACTGCGCCCCTCGTCTCACTCCTTCCTCCTCTCCCATCCTTCCCTCCTCGTCCTCCTCCTCCGCCTCCTCCTGTTCGATCCCAGCTTACCCTGCACCGCCCATTTCGGCATACCCCTCACACGTTTCGTAGCCTCATTGGGGGCCCCAGTGGCAGCGCTTGCATGGCGGCCCCTCGCTCGTTTCGTGGCCACATAGGGAGCTCCACTGGAGGCCCCAGTGGCAGCGTTCGTGTGGCGGCCCTGCCCCCATTTTCGCACACCTCTCACACGTTTCGTGTGGCCCCATAGGGCGCTCCACCAGAGGCCCCAGCGGCAGGGTCCGCATGCAGTTTCACTTTCATGCCGGCGCACCCCTCAGACGTTTCGGGGCCCCGTGGGATGCTCCACCCAATGCACCAGTGGCAGGGTCCGCACGCGGTTCCACCTTGCATTTCGGCGCACCCCTCGCACGTTCCGCGGGTCCATAGGGTGCTCTACCGAAGGCCCCAGTGGCAGGGTCCGCATGCAGTTCCACCCCCATTTCGGCGCACTCCTCACACGTCTCGTGGCACCATAGGGTGCTCCACCGAGGGCCCCAGTGACAGGGTCCGCATGCAGTTCCACCTCCATTCTGGCGCAACCCTTAGACGTTTTGTGGCACCATCGGGTGCTCCACCCAGGGCCCTAGTGACAGGGTCCGCATGCAATTCGACCCCCATTCTGGCGCACCCCTTACACGTTTCCTGGCACCATAGGGTGCTCCACCGAAGGCCCCAGTGGCAGGGTCCGCATGCAGTTCCGCCTTTTATTTCGGCGCACCTCTCACACGTTTCGTGGCCCCATAGGGTGCTCCCCTAAAGGCCCCAGTGGCAGGGTCGGCACGCGGTTCCACCCTGCATTTCGGCGCACCCCTCACACGTTTCGTGGCACCATCGGGAGCTCCGCCAAAGGCCCCAGTGGCAGCGCTCGCACGCTGTTCCACCCTGCATTTCGGCGCACCCCTCACAAGATTTGTGGCCTCACATGGGGCTCCACCGACAGCTCTGGTGGCAGTGTCCGCATGGCGTACCTATGCCAGTTTTGGCACACCCGTCACACGCGTCGTGGCCCCAGAGAGGTTCACCGAGGACGATATCCACAACTGCGCTACTCACAACTGCACATCGTTGGGTCTTTCGCCAGGATAATTTTTCTCCGCGAGGACCCTCGATGAGCATCCTGGATCAGGGGTCGACCTGAGCTTCGTTTTGCAGCAAAGGCGGATGGAAGCTCAAACGAGGGAGAATGAAAACGAAACAAAAACCAGAAGACATTGTTGAGGTCGATGACTCCGTCCTGGATCCTCTGGCAACAACGAAGCTCGCACGACAGGGAAGACATGCACGGGGTAGGGGCGTCCGAGCGGTGGCGAGGGCCCGCCTCCCCTCCCGGCCCCCCTCCCTGGCCTGCTCTCTCCGCACCGGGAGCCCGCCTGCGGGCTCGTTGGCCCCCCATAGGCCCCCCCCTGCCCCCTGGCCCAGAGCCCCGTGTCCTCGTCGGCTCGTCCTCGCCTCTCGTCATCGGTTTCCCTGGCCTCCCCCCCCCCTCTCCTGCCCCCCTCCCCCTCTCCTGACACTGCTCCGCCCGCCCTCCGTGCAAGGGCCAGGGCACGCGTGCCTCTCGTTTCCGCCCGCCCACTGCGCAACCGATGGCGCAGCAAAGCGCAGGCAGTTCTACTTGCGGCCTTCGGGTGCACGCCTCAGGGCGCAACCAATGGCAGGTCGTTTGATGCCCGGCCGCTGGGCGCGCAGCCGAGGGAGCAATAGCTGCCAGGCAGCTTGTTCTCAACCATCCCTCATTTTGGATCAGCAGCGCCGCGTCCCACTTCCCTCCCTCCTCCCACCCCTCCCCCTGCCCTCCGCATGTCGGCACACCCCTCACGCGTTTCGTGGCCCCACAGGGGGTTCCACCGTGAGCCCCAGTGGCATGGTGTTACACAGCGCCCCCCCCGCCCATGTCGGCACACCCCATCGATCAAGTCGTGGCCCTGCGTGGAGCTTCATCGACGGCTCAAACTTCACCGTGTTGCAGAGCGTCCCCCTGGGGGACCTCCACGTCGAATGATTCACTTCGAATGCTTCTTGACAGCAGCTGCGGCTGGGCAGCCACCGAGTGGCCTCGATCTTGAGGCCGCTCGGCGGCACGAAGCGGCCCGCACGCCGAACGCATGCATCCAGCGCTTCGATTACGATCGACGCACGGGCCCCTGGACCCTTCGACGCCTCCCACGAGTCGAAGAAGAGACAACTGCAAAAACATCAAGTTCAGACGTTCCGCGCGGATTTCTCAGATCGGTGCTGGGACCACCCTGGCGGCGCCTCCGGCGCCGCCCCTGGCGTGCTCCGTGCGCCGGGAGGGTGCTCCAGCGCAGATCAAAAATCCGCACGGAGCTCCGACAGTGTATGTTTACAGTCGGACCTAGGCCAGAGGAACACCCTCCAAGAACACGAGGCCCTCCGCCGGCCAGCACACACATGGCATCCTGGGGCATCCTCCCCAGGATGCGCAAGAGCTTCCAACGAACCCGAAGAACGTCAGGGAACCCTCCCTGAAGTGACCTCGATCTTGTATTTCGGTCCGACTGTTTGTTTTTGTTGTCCCTCTAACGTGGCCGGTTCCCAGCCCGGGTCGCTCTTTGACCGTCCCAGGGCCGAGCAGAAGCTGCCTCCAGAAGTGGGAATGGTTATTCGGGGCCTCCCGTCCGCGGGGTAAAAAGGGCCCTCCCTGAACTAACCTCGATCTTGCACTTCGGTCCGACTGGAAAGCAGGCCCATCATGCTTGCCCCTCGCCCTCCTCGGACCCAGACATGATCGCGTCGTAGAACAAATCGGGACGGGAGGTTTTTTGTCCGTTTTCGGCTTCGGACGGGGCTAGGACGAGAAATCTGTTCCAGAGCGTCCCGGGACGCTCTCGGAGCGTTCAGGGACGCTCTGGAACAGATTTCAAAGATTCTGGGTCTACCTTCACCCGATTTTTGCCTCGTCCTTCAAGCCGCGGTAGGACTATTGGAATGCTGGGACGGTTGGTCTCTGCTCAAGTCCTGGCTTCGCCTTACCTCCCCCTCACTCCACCAAAGCCATCCACCCCGCGGACAGGGGCCCCAACATCGTCCTATTCAAAAGTGTCGACAGACTGGCCGCCTCCTTTCATGCGAGGCCTGATGCTTGGGTATGTCGAGTGCGCAGGAGGGGAAGGAAGACACAGACACAAGGGTAAACGTCGATGCCCAGGAATATGCAAGAAAATACCCCAAGTGTAGGGGAATACGAGCATCAAGAAATCAAGTAATCCTGCGCCCCATAACAAATCATCCCCCCTTTCACCCCTCTTACATGTTGATCCCGTATCAATAGGATTGAATTGTGGAGAGGGCGCGGAGGCCGAACTTGAGAATCCCCAGGGGAAGTTGCGAATCGAAGTTGCTATCATCTCATGTTGACCAGTAACAGCATCCAAAAAGCTGAGCATGGCAATGGTGGTCACACCATGTCAGATTCTGCAGTCACCAGCGCGTGGCAGGGCTATGGAATTCTCACCATTTCAGTTGTCCTAAGCCACGAACGCGCGGCAGGGCCATGGGATTCTCACGTGGCAAGGCCCTGAGCACCGATTGGGTTTTGAAGTTAAATGCGTTTTTTCGAGCAGGCAGAGCATCATAATTATTTTTTCGCGCATCCCTCACACGGTTCGTAGTCCCTCTTCCTCCTGCTGCTCCTCCTCCTCCTGCTCCTCCTCCTCCTCCTCCTCCTCCTCCTTCCCCCCCGCTACTGCCCACGCCCGAGCTTCCCCAAGTCTCCGAGACTCCAAGCTTTCGAGCCTCTTCGAGGCACCGAGCTGCACCTCCCCCAGGGGCAACGATATGGGGGGATAAGGCATCGTCATCGTCATCATCAGCATCATCATCATCATAACATCACCTTCGCTGGGACAATCGTTGACCATCCCCGCCAGACCCCCGAACTTTATTATTTCGGTGCAAAATGATGGGGGGCTCTCGTTTCACCCGCGGGCGTCTCAGGTGTTGATTTCGTCCGATTTAGTCCGGTTTAGTCCGTTATAGTTCGTCTCAACTCTCTCTCTCTCTCTCGAGAGAGAGAGAGAGAGAGAGAGAGAGAGAGAGAGAGAAAGAGAGAGAGAGAGAGAGAAACAACAAAAAAAGAGAGAGAGAGAGAGAGAGAGAAAACAAAAAAACAAAAAAACAAAAAAGAGGGGCAAACAAAAATAGAGAGAGAGGGAGAGCACATGAGTCGACGCGGATTTGGCGCGCGCTCGACGCGGATTCGAGTTGGATTCGACGCGGATCCGACGTCCCGACACGGATTCGACACGGACTCGACGCAATTAGGGCCGCGACGAGACAGACCAGGCCCCCCGAGGATGCAACGTAACTGCTCATTTGTGCCTCCCTGGGCGCCTGTTCTTTGCGGAACTCTTCCACGTCTGAGCGCTTCCCCCCTGCTCCCCCTCGCGCGGCCGCCCTCGTCTTCCTCCATTCCTCTTGCACGCCGGACACTTCGCCTTTCGCTTGCCCCGGTTCGCCCCACGCTGGAGCGGACTGCCTCACCAGACATGCGACGTCCTGTTTTTTCTATAAGGAGTCCCTGAAAGTCAGGACCGTTTCCCCGGGGCTGGTTTTTCAAATTGAGTCGTTGTTTGACGGTCTCGGGACCCGACGAGAGCACCCCGAGGCCGAAAACCATCAAAGTTTTTTTTTTGCGACGCGCTCATGTCTGCCTCGCCGCCGACGAAAAACATGTTCCCTGGGCCCTTTCCCAAGTTCTTCCGCTCATGCCCCCGCCCCGCGCCCAGGCGGCCGCTGGCGACCTGCAAGGGGCGCCCGCATCCGCTCCATTGGCTGCGCCTGCCACTCGCCGAGCCGCCGCCGCTGGCGGGTGGCCGCTGCCGCCGCCGTCGCCGTCGTCGTCGTCGTCGCCGTCGTCGTCGTCTTCGTCGTCGTCGTCGTCGTAGTCGTCCTCGTTGTCGTCGTCGCCGTCGTCACCGCCGGATGTTCGAAAACATCGGGTCGTACAGTCGGAGCGAGGCCACGGGGTGTTCCTGGCGTTATGTTGCATGTTCATGTGCAGCCTGGGGAAGGATACCGTCGAGTTTTCTTCGGTTTGACAGCTTTGTTCCCTCGTTCGGGTACTGTCCTTTTCCGTGTTCACCATGGCCTCCTCGTCTGGCCAGGAAGTTCGGGTCGGGCGACTCTTCGGAAGGAACCCTCAGTGAGCTTGTTTTGTTTTGTTTGGTTTGCGTTGTTAGATTCTTGGTCGGCGAAAGGGTTCAGGTTCTAGTACAGTCGACCCGCGTAGTAAGGATAGGCATCCCTCACAAAGATGCCCTTGCATCCTTGCCTCCTGGGTCCATCCTTGAACACTTTCGATGGCCGCACCCCATTCGAAACGCTTCGGAATGGCAGCCCAGGCCCCTGCATCCTTATCGCGCATCCTTACTATCCGGGTTGACTGTAGTATGTCCTCTCTCTGTTCGATTTTCGTGCCTTCCCTTCGCCCTTCCATTCTCGATATTTGGTTTAAGTCGGGCCTGTCTTTTTACAGGAGGAATTTACAAAAATAGTTCAAAAGAAGTCAGGAGGCGATTTTAGGCGTATTGTTTTACTTGTTTGACGCTGTTCGAGTGTGTTTGATTTTTCGTCCACAATCATTTTGTAGGAGGGCATGCCCGACCTGATCTTTGGGGCCCCGCCTCGGGCCCCAGGACTGGCGAGGACCTCCCCTGGGTGCAGACGTGGCCCGGCCGGTGCGCCGCCCAGGTGTCGAGCACAAGGCAAGCAAGAACACCCCAGCGCAAGCATGATTGGAGGACTTGTGTCATGGCGTTCCAACCTACTTTGGCCAACTGCGTGCACCAAGGAAGTACCGGAACTTCAGGGTTTTCACCTGTCGGGCCCAAGGAGGCGATGCTCGTTCGACACCGTTTCGATTTCTTCCTGGGTGCTCTAAATTATTTCTGGGATGTGGTCTCTACGTACGATGTTAACAACATAAGCCTTGTGTGGTCCAAATCCCGGATAGCAGGGCGCCCGCAGGACGTGGAAAGGCCTGGTGAGAACCTCTGGGAGGACCTAGAGAGAGCTTCCGAAGGACCTCCTGGAGAGCTTCCGGGCACGCGTATTGGGAAACGCTCAGAAGAAGGCCTGCCAGAACACGCTGCAGGGTCAAGCAGAGCGCGCCGAGGTGTCTGAACGGAAGGCGGAGCGACCTCCGGGGCTACCCTGCGGCTCCGGCTTCTTAATCTTAAGCCCTTCTTTATTAGCTCTCTGCGAGCTATCCAGGAGCAACCTCTTCCCCGCCGAGAAAGCTTGAGCAGCGTGTGCAAGCACACGGCATAACCTGGCGCAGCTTGCGCAGCAGGTTGCGCCAAGACGTGCATCAGACACCCCGTCTCTCTCGACTCTTGAGTCTGTCCCCTCTGCCTGCCTGCGCCATGGGGTGTGCCATACGCTGCGCCAGGCCCACACCCCCAAATCACGAGTTCGTCCCCTCGCACCGCGGACCCCGAATCACGAGTTTGTCCAACTCGCCCCTGGGTCGCGACTCGATTCCCTCTGTTCCCTTTCAGCTAGAGGTTCGCCAGACGCCCTAGCACCCCTGAATCAAGAGTTGGCCCCCTTTGCCTCCTTCCTGCATTCACCGGGATTCCTCACAACATTTGCCTTCGGGACGTCCACGATATGCCGGAGGGATGGGGGGGCGATTCGCTCCGGGTCTGCACGTGGCTCTCGCATCAGAGCCGCACACCCTCGTTTGAACAGTTCCAGCGTCGATTCATGCCGGACTGTTCGCAACATGTTGGCGTCCGTGTTGCGCCACGCACAGTCCAATCCACAAGTCCAGCAGCTACACGGAGTGAAGCCGGCCCATCCCGAGCGCAACATTATGTGCTTTGCGCCGCTGAATCTTCACAACGCCCTTTCCGACAACTGCACGGACGGAGGGCGGTGTATGGTCACCCCGAGAGTGCCGTTAGAGACCACCTGTGGTGCTCCAATCGCAAGTCTTGGGTTCCCCGATCGGTGCACCAATGGAGGGGACTGTACCCTTTACGTTTCGGTGCTGTCGCTCGGGACCATCCTGAGTTGTAGCGTGATGTTAGGTCGTGCCTATCCCCTTACAGGAGGGAGACTCGAAGCTACCGAAAAACAGTATGGGGCACACGTTTTGAAAACTGTGTCGTAACTATTTGAAGGAATTCTTGGCCTATGTGCTATGCTCCGTCCAGCATCCCCCTGCGCGCCCCTCCGCGGCGCGGCCAGCCCACAGCCCAGGGCACACAGCTCGATGCTCTTCTCCGATGCCCCGGGGACGGAGGGCGGCGTCCTCCGAGGACGCGGCCCTCGCAATGGAGTGCCCCCGCGTCGCCTGGCCGCGGCGCTCGAGCAGTTCTGCGAGCGAAGCGGCCGTCTGTTCCGAAGGTCCTCCACGAGCTACGTGGGGCATTCCTAGAAGGGCCTCGCCTTCGCGAATGGAAGGAGATGTCCTCTCTTCCGCGGCGGAAGGGCGGCGGTAGGTCGGCGGAAGTGAAACGAGGCCGCCTCCGCCGGCGGAAGCCGGCGGAAGCTCGGCGGAAGGCGGCGGAAGTGGAACATCAGCCCCCGAGAGATGAACACGTTTTTGGGCTCAGGGTTGTCGAGATCGCCAACTTGGGTGGAGGGCGCGTCTCTTTCACACCATTGAGTTGTTCAACGTTACGCCGTCGAGCCTTGAGATGCCCAGCGATGCCCCGTTCAAAGCACGTGTAATCTCACCATGCAGCCCCATGGACCCTCACCTTTTCAGCTGGCGCTCGCCTCAGATCAACAAATTACTGCCTAGACTTGTGGGGAGGTGGTTGGAGCGTGAGGATGCATTGCGCACGTCTGTGCTGCGTGCGGGGTCTACGCTGGTCCTGCTTCCCCGCCGTATTTGGTTGAAGGCAGGCGTTCAGTGGCGGGATTCCTCCCGCAGAACTCAACACATCGCACACGTTTACGTCTTACAACACTTTGGCGCTCCGCCATCCGAGGGGTGCATCGTCCCCTACGCCGGTACCGTAATCAAATCATGATGTCTTTCTTGTACGAGACGTGCAAGGCCCTTGCGGCGAAGTGCCCGACGGAATTCGTCGTCCTGTTGGTCGCTTTCGCAGCGCATATCATCTTCTTCAGCAGCCACGCGTTCATCTCCAGAGTCCTCGGCAAATACGAAGAGCAGCATGAGGCTGGGGTCAAGGGCAAGGCCGAGGAGGCCGAGGAAAGCGAACAGACGAGCGCCATGCAGCCAGGCTCCACCGTTGCCACCGCGCCGCCCAGGCAAGGGCGGAAGACCGATGCGATCGGGGAGAGCTTCGTACACGCGGACATCACGCTGCTAAGGAAGCTTGGCTCGGAGAAACGCTTGTTAAAGGCGCTGGAGTCCTTTCGGAAGATGACGCCACGTCCGTGCACGTACAACGCCCTCCTGGCCGTTTGTATCCAGTGCGGCGATCCCTCGGCGGCCGTGAGGACGTTCAAGGAGGCCGTGGAAAGCAACATGGCCGACGTCGTGACCTACAATACCATGATCAAGTGCCTCACCCAGCATGGTAAGCTTGCGAAGGCGCGCGCGGTGATGACCAGCATGTACGCCATCGGGCTGCACCCGAACGTCGTGACATACAACGAGCTCATCGACGCAAACGTCAAGCAGCAGAACAGCCGTGCAGTCTGGGAGCTGGTCGACGAGATGCAGAGCAACAAGGTGGCTCCCAGCACGATCACCGTGTCCATCCTCTTGAAAACGTTGGACAGGAAGGCGTCTTCAGCCGAGTTCCACAAGGTCATGACCGCAGTGGCCTGCGTCGAGAATCAGATGGACGAGGTGCTCTTCAGTTCGCTGCTCGAGGCATGCATCCGAGCCGGCCGCAAGGACATCCTGCAGACACAGCTGCAGAGGCACCGCGGTTCCGACAGGCGCATCGAGGTGACCGGGATCCACACGTTCGGCAGCTTGTTCCGCGCGTACGGTCAGGTCGGAGACACGGACGGGCTTTGGAAGGAACTCTCGAAGAAGAACAAAACAGCATAAGCAGGAATGGTTTGGGGTCCGCTCGGTTTTCTTAGATCGATGCCAGGCCCCCCCGGCAGCGTCTCTGGCGCCGCCCCTGCCGATCTTCGAATTCCACGCGGACCCCCAGAATTTTGCTCTTGTGCCTTGTCTTCTCTCCAAGGAATGGAAGCTTATGCGGTCTCTGAATCTCATGCCGACGCAGATCACCTTCGGGTGCATGGTGGAGGCCGTCGCCATCAACGGCGACCCCCACTCGGCGCTCGAGCTGATCAGGGAGATGTGGAACGACAGCGACACCAGCCACCTCGTGAACGCAGTCGTCTACTGCTCCGTCGTCAGGAGCTACTCGCAGCAGAAGGAGTTCGCCCTGGTGTGGGAGGCACCCGGGGGGCCACGAACGACGGGCGTCTTCGCCCTCTCGCGGCGGCTTCCCAGCCCGCGGGGTGCCTTCAGCGGCAGCCCCCCTCGCGGAGAGCGTTCTGGGGGGGCCCGGATCGTCCTGCACGGCCGCTGGAGGCCCGAGTCGCGGCCCGGAAGAACAGCGGGGGACGGGGCCTCGCCCATGGAGCGAAGCATCGACACCCAATCCCCAGAGGAGGAGGAGGAGGAGGAGGAGGAGGAGGAGGAGGAGGAGGAGGAGTCGCCAATAGCGGCCTCATAGCCCACCCCGACCAAAAGCGCTGGGCTTCGCTACCGGGGGCCTGCCGCCGATCTGTAGGCGATGTCATGTATCGCCCGTTCCGGGTCGATGCCCCCCTCTCCTGTGCCAGTCCCACCTCTGCTGTCACGGTCCCGACTGCCGCGGACTAATATTTCGAGACGGCGGCGCGTCAAAATGCCCTAAATGTAAAACGCTGTCACTTGGTGCTCCTATTTTGGAGACGGCGCCTTTGGTGAACCATTAAGTGCCTTTGGTGCGCTATCCAGATTTTGCAAGTGGGCTGACGTAGTATTCGCTCTTGGGCAAACAACCTGTTTTTCGCATTGATTGATTTGGCGGTGGTGTCGTAAACAACTGCCCGCGGTACAAAAATCTTGCGATACATAATGAAGTCAGAGTCTCGTCACTCTCAGGTGTACGAGGAAATGAGGTCGCGGAAGGTCGTCTGCTCGAACGCCAATTTCAACGCCCTCTTCGACGCCTGCGCGCGCAGCGGCGAGATGGAGCGGGCCCCGGCGATCCTCGAGGAGATGAAGCGGCAGGGCATCGATGCGAATCTCATCACGTGGAGCACCTTGCTCAAGGGCTACTGCCAGGCAAATCAGCTCGACAGGGCGTTCGACATCCTGGACCACATGCAGGACAGTTGCGGGCTCGAGCCAGACGAGGTCGTGTATAACACTCTGCTCGATGGGTGCGCCAGGCAGGGCATGCTCGAGCGCGGGCTTGAACTTTTTGAGAGGATGCAGGCCTCATCGACGCAGCCCTCGTGCTACACGCTGTCCGTGCTGGTCAAACTGGCGAACCGTGGCGGGGACCTAGACCTCTGTTTCCACCTGGTGGAGTCGACGACGCGCAAGTACGACATGAGGCCCAACACCTACGTGTACAACAACTTGATGCAGGCGTGTTCGGCAGCAAATCGTGGGAGCCTTGCAAGCCCTCGTAATTCAGTCTTTCGGGTGCAGTGTCGACTGGCGCCGGTTAGCGTCGCTCCGCAAGAGCCAGCAACATGGCATGGGAGGCTCGCACGAGTTGCCATCGAGGCATGAGTCTTTCCTGTGGCGGCGTCCGGCCTGTTGTCTGGACCACCCTCTAGGCTTCTCGGAGAGCATTGGAGGTGTGCACCTTTTTCGCCGCCGGGGCCCTCGAGGAGCCTCCTGGATCGGGGGTCCACGCGGGCAGGGTTCGGGCGATCCGATGGGCCGTGCAGGCGTGCATGCAGCACCGGGCCGCCGCGCGGGGCATGGAGGTCTTCGAGGCCATGCTGGGGCAGACGGTGCGCCCCGACGCCAGGACGTACTGCGTGATGCTGCGCGGGCTCGTGGGCGCGCGCATGGTGGAGGACCCGGAGTGCAGCAAGCCCTGCAAGCACGCTCGGATAGTAAACTTCGAAGAGGGAGAGGTACCCATGCCTCTGCGCTTCGCCCGGCTTTCTCCCTCCTCTGGGCCTCGGAGGTCCTCGTCGCCACTGCTGGAGCGTCCCGAGATTCTGGTCCGAGCGCACCTCAGGAGAGCTCCAGGGAGTAGTGGTATGGGTACCTCTCAATTGCCCCGTACATCACGGGAGTTTCCGCTCTTCTCAGATCGAATGCGCATCGGCGAGTAGCACCCAAGATCGCTCCATAGCGACAAGGAGCGCCCAAGAGCGCCCAGTAGCGCCGAAGAGTGCTCAAAGAGCGCCCAATGGCGACCGAAAGCGCCCCGTATAGCGCCATGTCAGGGCGATGCATTATGTATGTCTTGCGCGCGATTGGGCGCGCTATTGGGTGCTATGGGGACCACCAGATGCTTCCGTGAGTGGCTTTCTGAGCATGCATACGGTCAGGAATCCCGGCTTGGCGTGTCGCTCCGCCAGTTCGGGCCCACTACGCTTCGGCGCGACACGCTATCCACTTCCTGGTCCCTGAGCGTGGACGTCACGCGTCTGTACCAGTCTCCCGCCCAGCGACGCGGAGCGACGCGCAATCCGCGTGTAATGCATAGTGTGTCGCCGGGTCGCCGTCGCGACATGCGAAGCCGAAGTTCCTGACCGTACGTCTTTGACGCGTCGGGTACCGATTCGTTGGCGAGCTGCTTTCAACAGGGAATCCTGGGGACATGCAGTGACAAGCAGGGTAGCTGCCCTATTACCCTGACATCGCTGCAACTTTCGGATCTCTCTAAGCCGAAGGGTCTCCCGCGGAGGTCCGTATTGTTGACTCTCGAGCTTTTTTGTTCTTCTGGGTCTTGTTCCCTTCGAGTTTCTTCCCGCGGAGCTGGTTCATACCCCGCTGGAACCATAATGTTGCACTGATGCGGGGGAGGGCCCCTAAGGCCCCCAGCAGGGCCCAGAGACATCCCGAAGGCTTTCAAAAACTTCGACACGGACGCAGGATGCCACACGTCCCAAATGACATGCGAACCGCCACACCTTCCTGCTGCAGAGCGCCTCACCCTCCGTGGGGAGGGAATAGCGGTCTCCGCCCCTTCTGGGGAAAAAGCGATCGGGAATGAGGTGCCCGGCCAAACCCCTGCCGATACATGCCGAGTAGGGGATCGACTACAGAAGCGATGTGCACCAACATTGCTTTGTTCGTCGGCGAAAAATCAAAAGAACCCCTTCTTCTGCGCAGCACTGACGCAGGACGACGCACGTCCCAAACGGCATGCGAACCGCCACACCTTCCCTGTTGCAGAGCGTCCCTCCCTCCGTTGGGAAGGAAATAGCGGTCCCTGCCCCTTCTGGAGAAAGCAGCCGTCGGGAATGAGAATGAGGTGCCCAGCCCACCCCTGCCCTGCCGACACATGTCGAGTAGCAGATCGCTTGCACACTCGATTTACACAAAATTGATTTGTTCGTCGAACCTACACGAAAAGTACGCATGAGGTTTGCATCTATCTACGAACAGTATACGTATTTGTTTGTAGATTCGACGAGAAATGACATTTGGGAGTAAATATATGTTGTAGTCGATCCCCTACTCGAACAGGGGGAGGATGAGGTGGAGGAGAGGGCGGAGACAACAGCCCCCCTCGTCGAGCGGCTCACGACCTTGCCGCTCGTAGCACCAACAAACCCGCGGTAAGGATGCGCCCCTAAGGCCATATGCACCTTTGCGCCCCTCGGGTCTACGCATCCTTCTGGCGTGTGTTCTGCGTCGCTGCTCCTAGGGTGCCCTTCGCGGTTCTGGAGTTCCTTGCAAGGCCAGTGCGTTCCAGGTGCTGAGCACCATGGCATTGGATTTAAGTCGGGCGCGTCCCTCTGCAGGAGGAAGATTCAACAATAATTCAAAAGAACATTCAAACATTGTCTGGGTACAATGTCTTAATTTTTGTTTGGCAGCGTTTCAGCATGGTTTATGATATTCTCAAATTTTCGTCCAAAACCCGCCTGTAGGAGGACACGCCCGACCTGACCCTGGCACCGGATCCTTATGGCAATGCTTTTTTGGGGGGGCTTCTGAGGACGCAACGGGCCTGGCACGCTGCGCCTGGGGCATCCCGACGGACCACCCCGTCATCTCGGGGGCTGCGGCAGGGGCGCCCAGCCCACGGCGCGGGCATGGCACGAGGGGCGCTCCGGGAAGGGCCCCGGCTTCGACCGCGAGCGGCGAGCGCATCCGTGTCCGTATCCGCGCCCTCGCGGTCTGGACTCTGCGTCCCTCCTCGAAATCAAGCGCACGTGCTTTTTCCGCGACATGGCGGCGCCCCCGGGCCCCCCATCTCAGCGTTGACGCCGATGCGGGCGACCGCAGTTTCGTTGTTGACCCCGCGGGCCGCGCTGCGCGCGGCCATCAGCATGGACAAATTCTGGGGCGAGGGGTGAGATAATAAGCTGCGTGCGATTTCGAGGGGGGGGTGTAGGGCGCGCTCCCGCGAAGGCGCGGGTGCACGGACACGCTCCGCGCAGGGGCCTCCGCGAGCAGAAGGAAGCCCCGCACTTGCAGGTTGTCGCGGCCGGGGGCACGGCTCCCGCGATAGGCCGCGGCTGCGGGTACGTTTTCCGCCCATGAGCATCGAGGGGTCGAGAGGTTGCTTCATCTTGCGGCGGCGAGCGAGGGGGGAAGTTCGAGTTTCGAAATTCCATGTTCGAGGTTTTCGGGCGCTTTCGTTGGCCTCGGCGATTCTCCAGCCTCGGGATGCTTGCCAGCAGCTGCGCCTCGCCGAGGGCGTTCCGGGCGTGCCCGGATCGTCCCGAACGGCCGCCAGAGACCCGATCTATGACCCAAAAACCAAATTTCGCGGCGCGCGATTGGGGGAAGTGAGAAGGAGAAGGCCTTCTCAGAAGGCGGCGGGACTGCTCAGAAGCCCTCGCGCCCTTTAAGAGGTCTGTTACGTCTTCCCGGAAGGCTTAGAAAACGTTTTCGAAGGCCTGGGGACTTCCGAGCCTTCTGGGAAGGCCTTCTCCTCCTCGCTTCCCCCCCTCGCTCGCCGCCTCACTCCTCTTCGGGCGGAGAGCGGCGGAAGATGGCGCGGACGCAGCCCAGCTGCGGGTGCGCTGGCGGGAGGCCGCGGGGAGGGCGGCGGAAGCAAGAGGCAAGACGTACAGTGGAGACCCATGCCACAAAACACCCTGCTTGCCTCCAGGGTACCCTGGGTTTGTGGGGTCTCGCTAGTTCTGCGATGGAAACCGTGACGTCCCCATGCAAAAAATCAATGGTCGTCCTGGGGTTCCAGGGCTGGGTTGATTGTGGAAGGTTTCTTGTGATCGAGCCTCTATTGTACACATGCTTGAATTTCGGCTTCCGGTGCCGGCCAGCCGCCTTCACGAGCTTCGATCGCCCCATGTGTTCGGCGAGGCTCATGGGCGAGTGCGTGCCATACCCGGGCCACCGCTGCCGGGCTTCTGCTCCATCGTGTGGCCCACGGGAGGTCTCGGCCCCCTTCTCCCCTGGGCCTGCTCGTTTCGACCCGAGCCGCTACTGGCGCCCCGTCGGCCCCCCTCTGCAGTCCGAGAAGAGAAGGACACGGAATCTTGCTCGTCATAGTTTCCCCCAAAAAAGGAAACAGAGCACAGACATAGACTTTTGGCGTTCCGCGCGGGTTTCTTGGATCCGCTCTGGGCCCCCCTGGCGGCGACCTCCGGCGCCGCCCCTGGCTCGCTCCGCGCGCCAGGGAGGGGGGTCCAGCGCGGATCCAAGAAATCCGCGCGGAGTGCTACAATTTATGTTTATGCTCTTTTGTTTTTTCCATTTCCACGACGCGAGGGTGTTGGTAATCAGAGGCAACGTTCAGGGCAGCGTGCAGAGGGAGTGGGCTCAGGGGGGGGGGCGCATCGACCCCCAATCGTACACTGATCGCTGACAGGGCTCTGATAGCCCACCCCGTCCAGGGCCATGCGGATTCGCCATCGGGGGCCTGTCGCCGACGGATCCGCGATGCATCGCCCATTCCAGGTTGTTGGTTCTCCCCCCTGAGCTGGTCCCCCCCCAAACGTTTCCCCCCCCTGAGCTGGTCTCCCCCAGACGTTCGAACGTTTCCCCAAGCGTTTCCCCTTCAGCTGCGGCGCCCCTCTGGTCGCTCCTCTGCGACGACCACGGGCGATGACGACGACGACGACGACGACGACGACGACGACGACGACGACGACGACGACGTGCTCGCACGGCGCGCTCCGGGAGGGGCCTCGCCCTCGAGGCGCCTGGGAGTTGACACGTTTCTCTTCCTCGGCGGGGGGGCGGCGGAGGCGTCGCGCCCCCCCCCCCCCCCCAGGAACCGGCGCGCCCAGGAACAAATGCAGCCGCAGGTCCAGGCCTTCTCCAGTCCTCGTTCCCCCCTCGGTTTTTTGTTGTTGCTCTGTTTGTCTAATTGTTTCAAAACCTGTGTACACGCTGGTCCTTGAAAGTCGGCGTGTCCTGGAGTCCCAGGTTCCAGTCTACTTCCAGCGCCTTCTACTGCAAGAGTCCATGCGTTTTTTGTTGGCTATGTGTTGTCATTCCCTGGGCGGGCCCAGACCACATCTACTTTACCCGCCTTCCTGCTTCATGTTTTTCCCAACTATCCTGTGGTCTTGGGTCCTCGTTTTGAAGAGACAGCGCCCCGCGTTCCTTCCTCCTCCCGCTTCTCCCTCCCCCTCCTCCCTCCTCCCCCTCCTTGCCTCTGCTCTCGGCACACCTCTCACACGCTTCGTAGCCCCATAGGGAGCTCCACCGAAGGCCCCAGTGAGGGTGTTCGCATGCGGTTCCCCCACCCAGGGCAGCGTTTCGTGGCCCCATAGGGAGCTCCACCGAAGGCCCCACTGGGAATGTTCGCATGCGGGTCCCCCACCCAGGGCAGCGCTTCGTAGCCCCATAGGGAGCTCCACCGAAGGCCCCAGTGGGGGTGTTCGCATGCGGGTCCCCCACCCAGGGCAGCGCTTCGTGGCTCCATAGGGGGCTCCACCGAAGGCCCCACTGGGAATGTTCGCATGCGGGTCCCCCACCCAGTGCAGCGTTTCGTGGCCCCATAGGGAGCTCCACTGAAGGGCCCACGGGGGGTGTTCGCATGCGGGTCCCCCACCCAGGGCAGCGCTTCGTGGCCCCATAAGGGGGCTCCACCGAAGGCCCCACTGGGGGTGTTCGCATGCGGGTCCCCCACCCAGTGCAGCGCTTCGTGGCCCCATAGGGAGCTCCACCGAAGGCCCCAGTGGGGGTGTTCGCATGCAGGTCCCCCACCCTGGACAGCGCTTCGTGGCCCCATATGGGGGCTCCACCGAAGGCTCCAGTGGGGGTGTTCGAATGCGGTTCCCCCACTCAGGGCAGCGCTTCGTGGCCTCATAGGGAGCTCCACCGAAGGCCCCAGTGGGGGTGTTCGCATGCGGGTCCCCTACCCAAGGCAGCGTTTCGTGGCTCCATAGGGGGCTCCACCAAAAGGCCCCAGTGGAGGTGTTCGCATGCGGGTCCCCCACCCTGGACATCGCTTCGTGGCCTCATAGGGAGTTCCACCGAAGTCCCCAGTCGGGGTGTTCGCATGCGGGTCCCCCACCCAGGGCAGCGCTTCGTGGCCCCATAGAGGGCTCCACCGAAGGCCCCAGTGGGGGTGTTCGCATGCGCGTCCTCCACCCAGGACCGCGCTTCGTGGCCCCACAGGGGGCTCCACCGAAGGCCCCACTGGGGATGTTCGCATGTTTCGTGGCCCCATAGGGGGCTCCACCGAAGGCCCCAGCGGGGGTGTTCGCATGCGGGTCCCCCGCCCAGGGCAGCGCTTCGTGGCCCCATAGGGGGGTCCACCGTAGGCCCCTCTGGGGGTGTTCGCATGCGGGTCCCCCACCCAGTGCAGCGCTTCGTGGCCCCATAGGGAGCTCCACCGAAGGCCCCAGTGGGGGTGTTCGCGTGCGGTTCACCCACCCAGGGCAGCGTTTCGTGGCCCCATAGGGAGCTCCACCGTAGGCCCCAGTGGGGACGCCCGCACGCGGTTCCCCCACCCAGGGCAGCGCTTCGTGGCCCCATAGGGAGCTCCACCCAAGGCCCCAGTGGGGGTGCCCGCATGCGGTTCCCCACCACCACCATTGTGGCAGGCCCCTCACACAGTTCGTGGCCCCATAAGGAGCTCCACCGAGGACGATATTCACAACTGCGGTATTCAAAATTGCATGTGGTTGGGTTCTTCGCCAGGCTAATTACCTACCTCTTCCGACCGACGCGTAGGTCCAAACATTCTCCAGTCTCCGTTCAACCCAGGTGGAATGTTGAAAACCCTGGTTAGCAGCGTCCTGGGTCAGGAGGCCCTGACCCCTAAGAGCGTGCCCCCTGTTGACTGTTCGCCTTGTCGCCGCCCCCGACACGTCAAGAACCACGGCGGCGTGGCGGTGCTCAAGGCCCGCCGATCCGAGCTGCCCGCCGAGCTGGCCACCGAGGTCTCTGGAAGCACCAAGGGGAGGAGGGGGGCGGCCTGAGGTCCTCGCGTCGCATTGTTTCTGAGTAGGACATGTTTGCTCGGGCTGTGCGTGCGCTACAGGAGAATGCCGCAGGAAGATTGGGTCCGCGGCTTTGGTCGTGATTGCTCACCATGTGTTTCTTTTGTTCGCCCCGTCGCGTGTCACTGGGGAAGTCATGTACAACCTGTAGGGGGGGGATCGGGTCTCAACGCAGACTCGGCAGTTCTCGCTGGTGTTCCAGCCACGGGATGCTCCCTGGCGGCTGCGCCTCGCCGAGAGCGCTCTGGGGGTGCCTCGATCGCCCCGAACGTCTGGCGGACAGCTGGGCCATGACCCAAAAGCCAGTACCAGCAGCTCTTCCTGCGCATCGAGGCTCCAGGGTCGAAGCTTAAGTCGGACAGGTTTCTCGACTGTTTAAAGATAGTCCCCAAAAATAGTTTGGGGACGATGTATTGACTAATTCGAATATGGTTGGATGTGTTTTCGACTAGTTTGGATGTTTCTCCCGAAGCCCGCCTGTAGGAGGACATGTCGACATGCCCGACCTAAGTCGAAGCTCGAGGAGATCTTTCGACGTCTGGTGTCCCCTTGGGAGGCCCGCCGAAGTGCTCTTTTGGGTGGGGGGGGCCGCCTCCTAGAGGCCCGGTCGCTGCCTCGAGAACGGTGCAACCCCACATGGTTTCAATTTTTTCACTGCCGCGGGCCCATCTTGGGCAACGGCGCCGCCCCAACAGCCCCTGGGTGCGAAATGCTGAAGTTGTTGGTCTCTCTTGTGGCGACGGTGCGGCGACTGCGCCTCTGGTGCACCACTGGGTGTCCCCGGTGCGCGATCGAGGTTTGACAAGGGACGTGCCCAATCCTTTGGAAACGTGAGGTGGTTACACACAGGACCGCTCAACACAATCGAACGTGTTGAAACGCCTACAGCGCGCAGAGGGCATCTCGGAGTGCACTTAGACAAACGCCCGAAAAGTGGATGCAAAAGGGCGGGGCTACGAGGGCAACGAGGAGCACCACGCACCCGAACGTGGCAAAATAGCAGGGCCACGCGAGGAACCAGAAGCACTCAAAGGTGGAAACAAAAGTGCGCCGGGCGCTATGGGAGGTCTTGCTTTGTGATTTTTGTTTTGTCAATGATTTGCTAATCGGCGTGGGCCCTCGCACCCCCCCTCCCAACCCTCCATGGAGTAGATCTTGGCTGTTTGGGGGGAGCTTGTTCCAGGCAGGTGGAGCCTCCCCCATAGAACGCACGGTTGCAAACAGTTGCATTAAGCAGAGGTCTGGAGCCAGACCCCCCCCTCACCGCCCAATGTCGAAACGCCGAATTTTAAAATATTTACTTTGATTGTATTTTCGAATTCAAGTAATGGTTTTCGAATTCAAAAAGCAGTTTTTTGAACTCCAAAACCAGTTTTTGTGAATTCAAGATTTTGTTTTTTGAATCCCAACACCAATTTGCTGGAATTCGAAAACCAGTTTTTAATTCAAAAACGAGATTTTCGAATTCCAAAGCCAGACTCGTCGCCGCCAGTTGGAGGCGTCGCCGCCAGGCGCCCCTGATGTGTCAGCGATCGTGCACAGAACCGCGCCCGCAACTGCTGGCGGGCGCCGAAACCTGAAGACGACAACCACGACGACGACGTACCAAGGAAGCCCGACCGGCCGATCGGAAAGTGAGCCCCTCCCCCCCTCTCTCCTCCATCCTTCCCCTCCTCCTTCTCCTCCTCCTCCTCCTCCTCCTCCTCCTCCTCCTCCTCCTCCTCCACACTTCGCAGCCATCTGGGGAGCCGCGAGGTCTAAACTGGGCCCCCCTGGACCTCCACTCCGCAGGACCTCCCAGGAGCCCACGAAAGTTGCGACACTTGCGCACTTCGCAGCCCCCCCGGGAGCCGCGAGGACTCAACTGTCCCCGTGGACCTCCAGTTCGCGGGGCCCAAGCCCCACGAATGTGGCGACAGTTGCCCACTTCGCAGCCCCCAAGGAGCCGCGAGGTCTCAACTGGGTCCCCGTGGTCCGCCAGTCCGCGAGTCCTCCCGTGGGCCCACGAGGGTGGCGACGGTTGCGCACTTCGCAGCCTCCCTGGGAGCCGCGAGGTCTCAACTGGGTACCCGTAGACCCTCAGTCCGCGGGACCTTCCAGGAGCCCACGAAAGTGGCGACAGTTGCGCACCTCGCAGCCCCCAGGAAGCCGCGAGGTCTCAACTGGGTCCCCGTGGACCTCCACACCGCGGGACCTCCCAGGAGCCCACGAGGGTGGCGACGGTTGCGCACTTCGCAGCCTCCCTGGGAGCCGCGAGGTCTCCACTGGGTACCCGTAGACCCTCAGTCCGCGGGACCTTCCAGGAGCCCACGAAAGTGGCGACAGTTGCGCACCTCGCAGCCCCCAGGAAGCCGCGAGGTCTCAACTGGGTCCCCGTGGACCTCCACACCGCGGGACCTCCCAGGAGCCCACGAGGGTTGCGACGGTTGCGCACTTCGCAGCCTCCCTGGGAGCCGCGAGGTCTCAACTGGGTACCCGTAGACCCTCAGTCCGCGGGACCTTCCAGGAGCCCACGAAAGTGGCGACAGTTGCGCACCTCGCAGCCCCCAGGAAGCCGCGAGGTCTCAACTGGGTCCCCGTGGACCTCCACACCGCGGGACCTCCCAGGAGCCCACGAGGGTGGCGACGGTTGCGCACTTCGCAGCCTCCCTGGGAGCCGCGAGGTCTCCACTGGGTACCCGTAGACCCTCAGTCCGCGGGACCTTCCAGGAGCCCACGAAAGTGGCGACAGTTGCGCACCTCGCAGCCCCCAGGAAGCCGCGAGGTCTCAACTGGGTCCCCGTGGACCTCCACACCGCGGGACCTCCCAGGAGCCCGTGAAAGTGGCGACGGTTGCGCATTTCGCAGCCCCCTTTATGGGCGCAATCAGTACGAAGAAGGAGCAGGGAGGAGGAGAGGAGACAGGGGGCAGGAAGTAGGAGCCAGGAGGCAGGAGAGGGGGGGGCGGAGGAGGAACCTTGGACAGCACATTGCTCTACTCAAAGCGAGGGTCCAGCACAGGAGACTTGGGAATCAAGCGAGTGGCGCGAGGAGGAAGGGAGGAGGAGGAGGAGGAGGAGGAGGAGGAGGAGGAGGAGGAGGAGGAGGAGGAGGAGAAGGAGGAGGAGGGGGGGAGGAGGTGCGGAGTCGGACCGCGCAGTGCTCCATCTTCAAGACGAGAGCCCAGCACAGGAGGCTTGGGAACCAGAGCAGTGGCGACCCCCCTTGGCTCTGCCCCGAGGTCGTGGAGGGCCTGGCGCGGGTGAGCGGCGCGGAGGCCACCGCCCTCGCGCTGCTCGACGAGCTCGAGGACGAGGGGCGGCCAAAGCCGTTGTTGCGGCCATCCCGCCGATCAGTGGCGGCTTCTCCTCGCGCTGCTCTCCTCTCCCATCAAAGGGGGAAACATTACATAATCATAAACTGTTCTACGATCCGCGTATGCGCGCGGATTTCTTGGATCCGCGCTGGGCCCCCCGGCGGCGCCCCTGGCGCGCACTCCGCTCGCCAGGGGAGGGGAGCCCCAGCGCAGAACTTAGAAGTCCGCGCGGAAGTCCCAGCGCAGAATTTGTCGTTTGTTCATTGCCCTCTCCATAGCAAGCTGGAAGCGTTCGGCCGTGTGGTCGGCTCTCAATGGGCGGTCTTGGCCATTCAATGTTATCCAGCGGCGAACCACGGCTTTTCTCAGAAATTGTGTTAACATCCTCAATGAACACGCCATGTGAACGAGTCCCCCCTTCTCTAGACGCACGTACTGTTTCCTCTGATCGTGGCGCGAATCTGTATAGCACACTACCGAGTTCCACCGCCTGCACCCTTCATACGCTCACCTTCTGGCGCACGGGCTTGACCCCTTGACCATCTGTTTTCTTTCTGGGTCCCACCGTTGGCCAATCGCGACTTCGTGTTCGCGCCCAAACTCCGTTTCGGGCCATCAGCCGGACCGTTTTCGTTTTAGCCCGTCCCGAATGAACACGCCAAACGCTGTGTCGGCCGGGCCCTGCCGCAGGAGTTCCAGGGCATCCGCTTCGACCCGAAGCTGCGCTCGCGGCTCACCAGCAAGGCTCGGAGCTGAAAAAGCTACAAATGTTTAGAGGCCCGCGTGGGTTTCTCGGACCGTCGTCGGGGACTTCTTGGTGGCGTCGGGCCGCCTCTGGCGCGCTCCGCGCGTCAGGGAGGGGAGCCTGGTGCCGATCCAAAAGATCTGCACTGACCTGCGAGAGTTTAGGGTGAGCGGAAGGACTAAGGAACACTTACTTCTCAAGAGGGTCTCGGTCGTTCCTTAGGTTTGCATGCGTTTCTTACCGTTTCTTATTCGTTGTCCATTATTCATCGTTCCTTATGCGTTACTCCTTGCAAAAAGGGGCTTCGGTCTTTATGTATCATTCCTTTGGTCAGGCCGATGACTGTACTTTGCATTGCTCGGACGTGTGCATTCCTCCTCGGCGAGGAACGCCGGATCAGCCTGCAAAAAGAGAAGAGCGGGGCACAGATGTTGACGTTGACGGGCGCCCTGTCCGCCTCCCCGTCGCCTCTTCCTCCTCCGCCTCCTCCTCCTCCTCCTCGTCCTCCTCCTCCTCCTCCTTCTCCTCGTCCTCCTCCTGCTCCCTGTCGTCTCCTCCTCCTCCTCCTCCTCGTCCTCCTCCTCCTCCTCCTCCTCCTCGTCGTCCTCCTCCTCCTCCTCCTCCTCCTCCTCCTCCTCCTCCTCTTCTCTCGTCCTCCTGGGCGCGGCCCTCAGAGGCCTGTCTTGCCTTCGGCCTCGGCCTGGGCCAGGGGCGACGGGGCTCTCGCAGGCAGGTGGCGGGGACGCTCTTCTGGCCCTCTCCGTCTCTGCCGTCGCGAGGCGCACAGAAAGGGGGGGGATCGGGAAAGGGGGGGTTACGACATCTGCTGCATGCAGCTGGTCTCGGCCCCGCCCCCGGGCCCATTCCTCGATACCTGGGCGCCTCCCGGCGCCGGGAGGCGCTGGGAAAGTCAGCGATGTAAGCTGATGATTTGCCCTACCCGTTGCGGACATGCCCGACCTAACCCTAGATGGGGTCGGGGCAGATGGTGTCGGGGCACTGCGGCACAATTTTGGGCCCAATTTTCTCGACGCCGACAGTGCCGATGCATCGCTGACGTCGCCAGTACATGGCCGATGCATCGCCGATGCATCGGCGATGCATCGCCGATATATCGGCGATGCGGTGAGATCATCCGACCCCATCTACTCGGACCTCATCTTGAAGGCCTCTACGAGCGATGGCAAGGTTGTGCTTGTGCCTGCTTGGCTCTTCTCTGAGAGGCGGCGCGTTCCTCCGAGTCTGCCAGGCGCTGAGCCTGGGCTAGGCCGAGCCGCAGCTGACCCGCGGGGATTATTGGCAGTTGCGCTCGTCCTCCTCCGCCTCCATTGTTAGATTGTAAGTCACGGAAGCGTTGGCTCGTGTTGCATGACCTGCATGTCGGCGAATCGCGTCTAATAGCACTCGATCGCACGCACGTTGCGACCCCATAGCGGCTATGAGCGCGCAGTAAACCCAAGATCGCCCACACAGCACCCAATTATGCCTACTAGCGCCGAACAGTGCCCAGATACCGCCCTTTAAGGCCCAATGACTCCATGAGAGAGAGATGCATCACGTCCGCTCTGCGCGCCATTGGACGCTGTGTTGGGAGCGATGGGGACGACCAGAACGCTTTCTGTGAGTTACTTTCTAACCTCCTCCTCCTCCACCTCCTCCTCCTCCTCCTCATCCTCCTCTTCCTCCCCCCCCTCCCCCTCCTCCCGGCATTAGCTGCAGTGTGGCACGGCGCTCGTGCTGCCCTGGGCAGGCATCGCTGCCGCCGTCCAGCTCCCTCGCAGGGGTCCGCGCACCCCCGCGCGTGCGCGGGCGCGCGCACGTGGAGTGTGAGGCTGCCTGCGCTGCCTGCCCCCGTGGCAGGCTTCGTGGCCCCCAGGGCTTGGAAAGCACACTCGGAGGCCCCTGGCAGGCCCTCGGAGGTCTTGGAGGCCATCGGCCTGAGCTCTTGACCTCCTCCTCCTCCTCCTCCTCCTCCTCCTCCTCCTCCTCGATCCTCCTCCTCCTCCTCCTCGATCCTGCTCCCTGCCGTCTCATCCTCCTCCTCCTCCTCCTCCTTCCCCTCCTCCCCCTCCTCCTCCTCCTCCTCCTTCCCCCTCCCCCTCCCTCCTCCTCCTCCTCCTCCTCCTCTTCCTCCTCCTCCTCCTCGGTGGAGCCCCTGCTCCCGCGGCCGTCTCGCAGGGGTGGAGGCCCCTCGGAGGGCCTTCGGCTCCTCTCGGGCATCCAGCGGCCTTGAGACCGCGTGCCTGGGTCATGGGCCGAGCTCTCGTGCATGCCTCTCTGGCTTTCTCGGGGTAGCAGTGACAGAGCATGCTTGCGGGCATGGGTCGCACATGGTGAGCTGTTGCACTTTCGATGTGCAGTCTACGTGATGGAAATTGTCGTGAGCCCGCGCGCGCGACCAAAGTCTCATGCTCGAGCGATCATCATACCCACCCGCCCGCAACGTGTTGCGCAGACCCGCCGCGTGCAGATCCATGGCTCTATTGGATGAGTGATGATGACGACCACAACGGCGTCCGTGCGGGCTAATACAGTGGTACTGGTGATGGTGATGATGGCCATGGCGACGACGCTTGCGATGTGGAAAGTTACGGTGAGGACGAAAGTGGTGATGATGAGAGTGGCAAGGACGACGGTAGTTGTGATGGTGAAGATGGTGATGGCAATGGTGATAAACATGTCGGCGCTTGCGGTGATGATGGCGATGCAGTTGAGGGGAGATGGGAGCGCTGATTTTACCACCAGATTCCACTGAACCCTACCAGTTCCGAGCAGGAATACGAACAGCCGAGCTGGATGAGCAACGCTAATTAGCTTCTAGTGGATTCCATTGGACCCGACGGGATTCCAGTGAGCTCCATTGCCTTTCAGTGGGCCCGATTTGATTCATCATCCTCTTTCCCCTCCTGATCTCTCGTTCTCAACGGACGTCGAGCGCTTTGTCTTCCCATGCCACATCCACCTCGAGAGCAAGATTTCGAACATCAGCTCCAGCTGCAGTTCTCACATGAAGGCTTGCGCCGCTGCGCTGGACCAGGGCTCAAACTGTGCGCCCGGAGGCCCCGCCCGCGCCGCGTGGAGCCGGATTCCTCCACTGCACCCCGCTTCTGCACTGTCGTTTCCGCTTCCCCGACCCCCTGTCCCCTTGGCGGCCGTTGCGCTGCCGCGTGCTGCGGCGCCGAGTTCGGGGCGTCTTCGGGAGGGCAGAGGGGTAGATGCGTGGCGGGGGTTCGGCGGGGGGAAGAGGGGGGGGGGGAGAAGGAGGACGAGGAGGAGGCCGAAGACGGGGACGGGGAGAGGGAGAGGAGGAGGAGTGATGATGAGACGAGAAGGAGGGCGAAAGTGTTCGAGGAGAGACGATGAGGAATAATGAGAAGGAGGGGCAACGAAGGGGAGGACGTAGAAAGGGTGATGATACGATATCCCTTCGCGCGATACGGCAGGGACGCAGTGGATTGCACGGCGCGGTGCTGGTTTTTCGGGGGCCCAAGACGGGCCACAGGGAGCCGGCCAGTGGATGGTTTTTGTTGGAAGGCCGCGTCCGAGGTGGTCGTTCTCGGTTGTCGACCGCTGGATCCCGCTAGTTGTTGTATTGTTCCTGTCCCCCCCTCCCTCTCATCCTCGTTTTCTTCCCCCTTGCCCTTCTGAGCTGCCCCGTCGCGCTCTACCTCCCCCGCCTCATGTTGCCGCTCCTCGTCTCCTCCCGGCCTTCGCTCCGCAGCGTCCGCGTGTCCGACACCTCTGCCGCCGCCCAGCCCTGAGTTTCTTAGGGGGCTGATCGTCACCTCGCGCGGGGGTGCTCCGAGGTGCCTGCAGCAAAGGCCCCCGAGATCATCCTGAAGGCGCGCGTCGCTCTTGCGCGTGTTCCCCCTTTTCTCTTATCCGATGACCAGGGGAACTCTTTGAACACGGCGTCCCGGACGACGCGACGGCCCGAAAATTTGAAGGCGGTTTTTTCCGGCGTTGAGCCGCACCCCGCCGTAGCGTGACGCGGGGTCTGGGGCCCGACGGTTTTAATGAAAGGAGGACGTCCCTCGGTCCGAATGCGCGATGCCGCAGAACAAAAAACGACCAGAGCGCTTGATTTAAGTCGGGCGTATCCCTCTGCAGGAGGAATATTCCAAAATAGTAAAAGACAGTATTCAGGGGACGACTTTTGAGTATTGTTTGATTACAACATTTTGTTCGCGGACTTCTTTCGAGCTGGAACGAACCCCGAGGGCCCCGAACAAAAACATTACTCCGACGGAAGGACCCCACATGAGAATCTCTTTAGCTTGCATGGGGGTATCCTCCTGCCCCTTCCCTTCTCCCACCTACTCTTGCCTCCTCGTTCTCCTCCTGTCTGCTCCTCCTCCTGCCTCAACCCCTGCCTCTTCCTCCTCTTCTTGCCTCCTCCACCTCCTCCCCCTCCCCCTCGTTATGCTTCCTCCCCCCCATTCCCCTTGCCCCTCCCGCCTCCTGCCTCCTCCTCCTGCTCTCCCTCTCCCTTCTCCTCCTCCTCCTCCTCATCCCCTGTCCTCCTCCTCTCCCTCTCCCTCATCCGCTTCCTCCTCCTCTTCCTCCTCCTCGTTTCCATATTCCTCCCCCCTCCTCTCCCCCCCTCCTCCTCCTCCTCCTCCTCCTCCTCCTCCTCCTCCTCCTCCTCCTCATCCTGCCTCCTCCTTAGGCCTCCTGCCCCCTCCTGGAGCCTCCTGGGGCCTCCTGGAGCCTTCTGGGCCTTCCGGGACCTACTGGGGCCTCCTCGGGCATTCCTCCTCCTCCTTTTCCTCCTCGTCCTTCCTCCCCTCAGCCTCTTCCTCTTCCTGCTTTCCTGTCTCGTCCTGCATCATCCCTCCTCCTTTTCCTGGCAATCCTCCTCCTCCTCGTCCTCGTGCGGAACACGACCCAGAGGAAGCGCACGACGTGCGTCCCAGCCGATACGCGCCGGAGGACGACCCAGAGGAAGCGCGCGCCGGAGGATGACCCGGAGGAACCACGTGAGCTGCGGGACCCATAGGAAGGCTCCCGCCTGACGCGTCCTCACAATTCACTCACAGACGAGGGTCCCGCTTGATACTTCTTCCAAATTCAGACCTGAGGAGCCCAAAAGTGACGACAGTTACAGGAATCCGATGACCCGTTCGGATTAATAACATGATCTGCGGGCCCCATAGGGAGGGGGCTCCCGCCTGAGACTTGCTCGCAATTCACTGACAATCGAGGCTCCCGCCTGATACTTCCTCCAAATTCAGACCTGAGGAGCACAAAAGTGACGACAGTTACAGGAATCCGATGACCCGCTTGGATTGATAACATGATCTGCGGGCCCCATAGGGAGGAGGCTCCGGCCTGAGAGTACTTCACAATCCATTCACAGACGAGGCTCCCGCTTGATACTTCCTCCAAATTCAGACCTGAGGAGCCCAAAAGTGACGACAGTTACAGGAATCCGATGACCCGCTCGGATTAGTAACATGATCTGCGGGCCCCATAGAGAAGGGGCCCCCGCCTGACGCGTCCTCACAATTCACTCACAGACAAGGGTCCCGCTTGATACTTCTTCCAAATTCAGACCTGAGGAGCCCAAAAGTGAGGACAGTTACAGGAATCCGATGACCCGCTCGGATTAATAACATGATCTGCAGGCCCCATAGGGAGGGGGCTCCCGCCTGAGACTTGCTCGCAATTCACTAACAAACGAGGCTCCCGCCTGATACTTCCTCCAAATTCAGACCTGAGGAGCCCAAAAGTGACGACAATCACACGAATCCGATGACCCGCTCGGATTAGTAACATGATCTGCGGGCCCCATAGGGAGGGGGCTCCCGCCTGAGACTTCCTCGCAATTCACTCACAGACGAGGCTCCCGCTTGATACTTCCTCCAAATTCAGACCTGAGGAACCCAAAAGTGACGACAGTTACAGAAATCCAATGACCCGTTCGGATTAGTAACATGATCTGCGGGCCCCATAGGGAGGGGGCTCCCGCCTGAGACTTCCTCACAATTCACTCACAAACGAGGGTCCCGCCTGATACTTCCTCCATATTCAGGCCTCAAGTCAGCGAGTAGTGATGATGATGATGCTGATAATCGTTCGATGCCGATGATGGTGAGTGATCGTGGGATGGTGATGGTGATGCTAATGGTGATGATGATGATGATGATGATGAGTGGGGAGTGATGATGATGGTGATGATGATGCGGAGGAGGAAGCAAAGAGGAACAGAGGAGAGGGAGGAGGACGGGAGATCCTGCGCGGAGGGTGTGCAGAGAAAACAAGAACCCCACTTAGGATGTGGGGAATAATCAAAGCAAACACCCGGGGTGTGGCAACTTGCGGCGCCCAGATCCCTTGGGAAAAGTAGGGAGGTACTCTGAAGCGGCACCTTCTCTCCATGGCGGCTACTCCTCCTCCTCCTTCTCCTCCTCCTCCTCCTCCTCCGCCTCCTCTTCCTCCTCCTCCTCCCCGTGTGGCTGGGGACTAAGCGGGCAGCCGCCTCTGTCGGCTTGACGGTCAACAGCAAGTTTTGGCTTGCTTTTGTTCACCCTCCAGGCCTTTACTGCCGCATACCGAAATCTAGTGACGGTGCCACCCAAAAAGAACCTGGATGCGTAATACCGAAATTCGTCATATATGTTTAAACGACGGCGACATTGCTGAACCACTGACTGCCCTCGCGCGCTGTCGCGATTTGGCAAGGGGATGGCATAACAAACGCTCGCCAGCGAAAACCTATTCCTCGCCTTGTGGAATTTGGCGGTGGCGTCGTTCACACCTGGCCCACGTAACGAACTGAGCGTTTCTTTGGCGTCTGAAGCAGCAGAGGACCACTTGGGTGCCACCCTGGCCTGGGGGCCCTCCCCCCGTGGCAGCCGCAGGGCCCCCCCCCCCCTCCCGAGGCCCCCGCTCCCAGCAGGGCAGCGGAGGGCAGCGCTTCCGACTCCGCCAGGCAGAGTTGGACCAATCGCCGCCCACCGGACCCCCACCCCCCAGCCCGAAGGCTCCAAGTCGCCCTCCGTTTCCAGTGGGGGGGGCCGTCGGGGAGCATTGAAAAACACTTTTTACCATCCAGCGGAGCCCAGTGGCAGGGAGGCAGGAGGCGGCAGGGGGGAGGGAGCGGGGAGGGGAGGGGGAGGGCCAGGCGCGCGGCTCGCAGCCCGGCTGCTGCATTGAAAAACAGATGTGGCACCCATACCCCCCCCAACCCGAAATGTTTGGTCTTCGGGTTCGGTTTTGGAGCTGTCGGGCAGGTAACTAGTCAACCAAGGGCTTACAGGCCTGGCCACCCCGCATCGCCCCCGCCAGCGTGCCCGCGGCAGCCGCATGCCCTCGGATCTGGGCGTCGCCCAAAAGAGGCACCGCCGTTTTGCGCCACGGTTCTCAGGAGGGGAAAACACAGACAAAATTAATCGTCGATCCGCAGGAAAACAAGTAGGAAAACATGGACAATGGGTTGGGGAGGACGAACACCCAGAACATGCAGGAAAACATTGGGGTTCCTGGGATTAGTGTGTGTGTGTATTTCTTTGTGTCTCCCTGGGCCCCTTCAAGTCCGCTTCCCGACTCCGAGACCGTCGGCAGAGTTGACGTGCTGCTGCGAGCGATCCCCACGCAGGAAGCGCGAGGCGGGATACTCCCAGGGGGCAGCGGCACACTCTCGGGCCTGGCGGCCGCGGTATGCAGTAGTCGTTCGTCGGAGGCACGAGGCGGGATCCCCAGAGCCCACCCTCCTCACATTTTGGGCCTGGTGGCCGCGGTGTGCAAGGTGTGCGAGGCGGGGCGGGGGCCCTTCTTTTCACATCTCACAACCCCAGCCACTGCCGGACGACTCAGGATTATAAGCCAGTCCCACTGAAGGGCTCGAGATCCCTTGGGGTCGGTGTCAAACAAACAAACAAACGTGACGTCGGAAGAGATGGTGGATCATAGGCGAAGTTAGGTTGACGTGGCAACCCATCAGATGAGTGCGCGTTGGCAATTCTAGGTTTCCATGTTATTTGCGTTGAGCCTCCTGGGGTGTCGCCACGGCTCGATACGCCACCATGTAGTGCTCGAAGCGAACAGAGAGAATCAGTGTCTGCGACTTCGGGCGGCACGGGAAACAACATAACGAGCACGTTCCCGCAATCTCGGCATCTAGGAGCAGTTGCCGGACCCCGGGGCCATTACAGGGAGAGACCCCCGACGACAAATCAAGCCTTGCCGGTGTGGTTGGTAGCTCCAGGGACCAAGATTTTGACACATGTTTGGGCTCGTTTCTGGTCTCGGGAGCCTCGGACTGGTCTGGGCAATCTGCTGATACCAGTCCACTTGGCTCCGTGTTGACACGTTCTCGTGTGCGTTCGCGCACGCACGCGTCCTTATGTGGAGATCCAGCGGCACGTTGGTACGCACGCTCGCACGAGCATGTGCAAACGTGTACGTGTGCGCGCTGGTACTCCTACAGTGTATTGTCGCGTAGACGCGTAGGCCGAAGCATTTTTGTTGTGCACAGACGCCGACGCACGGACATGTTCTGTGTTCAATCGCGCATGCGCTCGCGTGCAGCAGCCCGACATCAGCGAGATGCCATGTTGGTTTCGCTTGTGTTTGTGGAGTTGTCAGTCCTTCTCGCAGTTGCTTTATTTTCTCCGCAAGGTGTGCGCCGCGGCATTCCCTCAGGCGCCTGCTTTCTTGACAATGTGGCAGGACCGAGGAGGAGACCCGCCCTCGGACAAGGACAATTCGTGAGTGGGTCTCGCATCTAGCATCTAGTCTCCTTCGGCCAAACCCGCCACTGTGCCTGGCTTGTGGGCCAGAAGCCTCTTACATGTTTTGTGGGGGTCTCTTGGAACTACTATAAGCGGCATGCTTGGGGCCTCGTGGGGGGTATCTTTGGGGGCATCTTTGGTGACCTTATGGTGCCTTCTTCGGGCACTTCGGCAGTCTCTTTGGGGGCGTCCTGACGACCTCGTTGGCCACGCAGTCGACCTGAACATTAAGGATGACCTTCCTGAGGGTACTCTTGCATCCTTGCCTCCTCGGCCCATCCTTGGCCGCTTTCGCTGGCCGCGCCCCGCCCGAAAAGCTTCGAAACGGCCTTCCAGGGCCCTTGCATCCTTACGGTGCATCCGTATGACACGGGCCGACTGTATCAGAGAGGGGGCCCCAAAGGTCAGTTCGAGTTCCCCCTCCTGGGCTTGCGGAGGCCTCTTGGACCTCTTGGGGGCGTTTTAGGTTGTCCTGGGGGCACAGTTGGTGCCATCTTGGGCCGTTTGAGGAGCGCCTCTCGGACCGAACATCCAGGCATGTCCAGTCATACAACAATTCGCTCGAGTGGCCCTCCCCCTGGTTATCTGGGCCAGCCAGGGTCCTCTTGGGCCTCCCTGGGGCCCTTCTTTGGCCCCCTCTGTGGCCGTCTCGTCGCCCAGTGCCCCCTGAAAGAAGTCATGCGACCAGCCCCCGCGTTTCTGGCTATCGGTGGCCTGTGCTTCGTAGAGCGTACCACACATTTGAATACAGAGGACTCAGAAGGGGTCGGGGAGCACTCCACCCAGTGCCCACGGCAGGTTGCCGGATTCAACGCTGGACTCAGTTTTCTTCCACGACGGATCCAGCCCGCCGAAGACGGTTGGCGGCAACCGTCGGTGGGAGGTGTGGCTTGGGTACCCGCATGGAGATGCCCCGCTAGACCCCATGGGCTCAGGAAATTGCGACAGTTTGCGCACAGGGCTTTCGTGTCTCAGTTGGGCCTGCGACCGCTGCACGCTTGACGGAACACTAGTGGAGCTCAATGTTTCATCTGGGGCTGAGGAAGTCAGCAGTCTGCTGGACTCCCCAGGCAACCGCTCGTGGGTACGAGCGCATGGTGAAAGGAACGGGTTCAGGGTCTCGACCTGAATGTGATCACCGAGGAGCGAATCACCGCAGTCACCATGCTGCGATGACAGTGGCCACAGAGGGAGAGGCACGGTTTCACACACGAGCGAACGTGGCTAGTTCTGCTTTGCAGTGAAAGGGAACGTCATGTCAGGTTCCGTCTCCTGAGAAGTCGTGTTCAGCATCGGCCTTGGCATATGTATCCTGCTCTGTGGCCCCCGTGTTGGGCTCAGCAGTCTTTTGTCGTTACCGAGAAGACCTCCGATAAGCTACCTCTTAAGCTTTACTGGCCTGGGATTTCCACTACCATTCCAGGCCTTCTTGGCCCCGATTCGCTGGTCCTGCCTTGGCGCCTTGGTGCCTCCAAGACTTGGTGCCCGGCGTGGCCGCAGTGGCGACCTTTTTGAGCCTCTGGCGCCCGTTCGGAACGCTCTCGACGAGGCGCAGCCACTCGAGCACATCCCGGCGCAGCCACTCGAGCACATCCCGAGGCTGGGAAACCGCGGCGGCCATCCAGGCCGAGACGCTGGAGGCCCTGGGGAGGCCACCGCGGCCCTGCAGCTCTCTCGCGGCCTCCGGCCAAGACGCTGGAGGCCCTGGGGAGGCCACCGTGGGCCTCCAGCTCTCTCGCGGCCCCCGGAAGCCCACGCGCACTCGCCCCGCGACCCTTCCCTTCTCCTCGGGTGGGACGGAGGATCGCGCCGCACCGCCGATGCTTTGGAGATCGGGTTCGGTGCGGAGCCCGCTTTTCTCCATGCCGACGTCGCCGATGCGTCGCCGACGCATCGGCGATGCATCGCCGACGCATCGGCGATGCGGCGCGATCTTCCGACCACATCTGCTCGGACCTAATCTGGGAGGCCCTCTCTGTTGGGAGGAGGAGGAGGAGGAGGAACAGGAGGAGGAGGAGAAGGAAGAGGAGGAGGAGGAGGAGGAGGAGGAGGAGGAGGGGGCAGGAATAGGATGAGGATGACGAGGAGGAGGAGGAGGAGGAGGAGGGAGAGGAGGAAGGAGGAGGAGGAAGGAGCAGGAGCAGAGGGAGGGGGGGGGGGGCCGCGGCCCGCCTCTCGCCGCGGGCCGCGGCCATCGGCGGGCGTCGGGAGTCCGCGGCCGGCCACGCCGCCGCGGCCGCCGCGGCCACGAGCGGGGGGCGGCGGCCTCCCCGACGCGGCGGGAGGCCTCCGGCGGGAGGCCCGAGGTCGAGGGCCCGTGGGGGCCGCGGGCGTCGGCGGGCCGCGGCCTCGGCGGGCGTCGGGAGGCCGAGGGCGGACGCTGGCGCGCGGCCGCGGCCTCCGCGACGCCTCCCCGCGGGGCGCGGCGGGCGTTTGTTTGTTTGTTTGTTTGTTTGCTTGTTTGTTTGTTTGTTTGTTTGTTTGTTTGTTTGGGTATCTTTGTTTTTCATGGTATATATATAAATGTTTATAAATGTATACATAAACATATTATATATATATATAAATATAGATACAAGACTGCAGTGGCGCTTCGCGCCATGCACCTTGGTCCTTGAAGTTTGGTATGCTGGCGGAGTAGCAGGAAGGTCAAGCTGACAATTCAGCGATAACTCCTGGTTGCCTTTTCTGGCATCGCCGCTATAATAGTGTTATTCGTTATCCTTCCTCCATGCTTCTTTTTCCTGATTTTCGCCATGCCCTGCGCATTCTCCCCATCCTCCTCAGCTCTTTTTTGCGGAGGCTCCTCCTTGGAGAGCCTCTAGGGGCCTCACAAAAGTTGTTTCAGGCTTTCTTAAGGCCTTCTGGAGACCTCCTGGGCGTATTCTGGGGGCCTCTGGGGGCTTCCTCGGGCCACCCTGCCTCCAACCGCGGTCTCCCTGAACGACCGAATCACGATTTGGAATTCTTCGGAGGGTGTCTTTGGGCCATCTTGGACCGCCATGGGGCCCTCTGAGGGCCATCTTGGACCCGTGTTATGTCGTTTTGGGGCTCTCTTGGACTGCCTGGAAACCCTTTCGGATGGTTGTGGGGCGATTGTGGAACCTCCCAGGCGACTTCGGACGCCCAGAAGACCGCCGTCTTGGAGCGTCGGGAAGCCCAAAAGAGGAAGAACCCTAAAATTCACCAAAAACCAAGAGAAAGTCAATGAGTTTTGCCTCGGGGGGCCTTCTTGGGAGTGCTCTTGGAGGCCTCTTTGGGGCCGTCCTGGAGGCCTCTTGGGCCATCTTGAGTTCACGTCGGTCACTCTTGGAGCGCTCTTGTGCTGTCGTGTCTTGGACGTCTCCGATGACCCCCCTGATCGCCCTAGGTGTTCTGGGAAGGCTTGGCAAAGCGCCATGTGAGGCCCGGGGGCCGCTTCGAGGCCCGTCTGGAGGGTCCCAATTCCCAGATCCCGGGAGTCCGGTTTTGGGGGGGGAGGGGGTGATGGGTTTTCCCCCCGCCCGGGCTTATAAAAATATAGGAAGAGGAGTATCGATAGATGTGTGTATATAGATAGACTCCTTCCTGTACCGTCTTTTATACAATTATACAGGAGCCCCGACGTCGTGTTTGTGTTCCAAGGCGTGGGCCCTGGAGGTGGTCTCCGAGAGGGGATCGGTTGCAGGATGGAGTTGCCCCAGAATGGACATCCTCGCCGAGTCCACGACGCAGACGTTGAGTTTTCGCACCTCTACGAACATCGCACATGTTCAAGTAAATCGCACGAAAGGAGGAACAGTTTGAGGCTACATCAATTCTGTAGCCGATCTCCTACCCGAAGTCTGGACCTTTACTCTGGGGCAGGATTGTTCCTGCCCCGTCGTTCTGACGCTCCCGGGGCCCGGCGAGGGCCCCCAGAGGCAGAATTGATTCTGGACGCCCGACATGGGCACTGAAAGAATGGGTACGATGCCCAACTGCAGTTCCTGTTCATTTTGAACAGGGCTCGCTGTCCGCGCCGCCGCGGCCCGTGTCCATTTGAGACAGAGGGCTGCCCGCCCAACAGCGGCCGCTGTTGGTTTGGGGCAACATTTGTTGTTGGGCATTGTACCCATTCTTTCCGTGCCCATTTTCGGGCGTCCGAATTGATCCAAGTTTCGGGGCGTCCACGAGGGGGGTAATGAGGGGTGGTGGTGGATGTCATGGCTGGTTCCACGAAATCACCCTGATCTCATGTCCCTCTTTTCTTCCTCCGATCCGTCCCCTGCCCCCCCGCCCCTCGCCCGCGCACACGCCTCGGGCCACGACCTGCGAACCCCTCTCCTTGGATTCAAAAAGCCCGGACTCCCCCGGAACAGCCCGCCGTCGTGACCTCTCCGCGGACGCGAGGGGGTCGTGCTCTCCGCCGCCGGCCGCGTGGGGTCGCAGCCCCCTCTCGGCTGCCGGCGCGCTGCTGGCGGTGGGCGCTGGCGGCTCTGCCGGTCGCCGCGCCGCCGCCGCCGCCGGGCCGCGGGGGCGATGTTGAACCCCGACGGGTCGCGCGGTGGCTCCGCCGGTGGCGGCTCCGAGCCGCGGGCTCGGCTGCTGCTCCTCCACCCTTCCTGCCTGCTCTTCCCGCCTCCGTCATCCTCCTCCCCCTCCCTCCTCCAGCTTCTCGTCGGAGTGCTCCTCCTCCTCTTCCTCCTCCCCGTCCGTCTGCTCATCCCCCTCCTCCCCGTTCCCCTCCTCCTGCCCTCCTCCCCCTTCTCCTCCTCCTCCTTCTCCTCCTCCTCCTCCTCCTCCTCCTTCTCCTCCTCCTCCTCCTCCTCCCATTCCTCCTCCTCCTCCTCCCTCTTCCCCCCTAATTGTCCTTCCGGTTTGTTTTCTCCTCCTGCTCCTCCCCCTCCTCTCCTCCTTTTCCTCCTCACTATCCTTTCCGCCCGTCAACTACTGTCCCATCTCTCCGTGCCCCTCCTACTCTCCTCCTCCCCTTCCTCTCCTCCAACACGTTCTCCTTCT